GAAGAACACATAGTTTTTAAAATGAAGATTTGGTAAATTTATAGTCCTTTTTTCCCTTACTGATTAATTTTAAGTTTCAGTTCGCAAATTTAATATAATGATTGACTGAAACAGTAAGTAGGTATCATTAGTTAATGTCATTAACGTCATAAATGAATCCTGAAAAAAGAACTAATTTTGAGATGACACAAATTAGAACGATTTGGTATAAGCAGTTGCTATTTATTTGATTGCTAATTTCCTTCTAATTATATTCCAAAATTCCCACCAGTGGCTAAGACACCAGAATGCTAGGAGTTCGACCAAAGCTCAGTTGCAGGCGGAAGGGCTGGCTCCGTGTTTTGGTTTTGTGATTTGCTTCATTTGAAAAATGAATGCGATTCGGATTCTCATAGAAATTTCTCATCAAAAGCATCTGTTTCTCTATCAGATAGCACTCGAGTACTCTGCTGTATTCAAACGGCCGAACCTAATCTTTGTTAAAATGATTTTCTATAGCAATTGATTACGTTCACAGCTGCACAAGAGTAACATGTAGAAGTAAAGTGGTATCTAATAATACCATTTCAAAGCATCTTTAATAACCATAATATGATGCAATAACAATCTACTTAGAGAGAAAATAATTAGATCGTATACATTCTCAAAATAAATACTTTCCTTTATTACTTTAATGAATAAGACCTTATGCTCTTAGCACTTTAATATTTTTTGGTTGCATCTGCAGCATCTACAAGTTTAACAGAAGGCGGTGAAATTATACTGCAAATGTTGCTATTTCTGTTATTAGAAATGTAAGTAGAAATGTAGCTGCGACTGAATGAAATAATATAAGGAGAATTTCGATGACTGGAATTAAGCAACATTTCTAAGCTTTAACCGTTCTCTATAAAATATTCGCAATTGCCTGAAATGATTACTTTCTTACTACAAAAGATTATACAGCAGTAATGATAATTAGGCGCTATAGTTAAATTTATTATTACACCAGTCCCCACTTACATATTTACATATAAAGTGCGTATATATATATCTATATATATATAGAGAGAGAGAGAAAGATGGATAGATAATTATAAATAAGTGTTACATTTAACTAGCAAATGTAAAAATTATATACTATATTTAATTTTACGCATTGTTTAATATTTGCTTCTCGCGGATTTCACGAAAACTTATATTGGATAACTAAACATAACATCTAGCACATATAGAGACACAAATTTTAAAGGGTGGGCTACATTTTGCGAATTCCCCAAAATTATAGACTTTTTGAAAGGTTACTGAAATTAAAAAAATTTTCACTGAATTCCTATCTAGGAAAATATTCCAGATGCTTCGAAATATCAGGAAAATTTAGGCCACTGTACAAATTCTTCCACTGAGTATATGACTCCTTTAACATCTTTCTCATTTAATGATCTGAGTGAAGCGATGATTTGGTTTTTGAAGATGATAATGAAATTTGGGAATTCAGCATGACAACGTTGCCAGTTTTAAGGTGAAGTAAATATTTGCATGTGTTTCATCGGAAAGTGAAATTAATTCGCAGCCATCTGACGGCTTCATTAGCTCCCTGCATACAACAGTCTACTCACTTATAGCAAGAGTTATTGGATTCAATCCTAGGTCATCACAAAAAGTGCCCGGCTAAATGCAGAAGTAGTCATGGAAAAATAGGGACCCTTTCCTACTGTCGCTGAATTTGGTCGGGGGTTTCATCAAGTCAAATCATCCAGTTTATGATATCAAGATTAAGTCATCAGATTCTCATCTTAAACAAAAGTTACCCGAAAACATTTGCAGGCTATGAGAAATCAGTACGTGATAGCCATTAACTGAGCAGAGTATGATATCGTGAACTAGGGATCAGAGAGGGTAAACATCATGCCGGTTTTCTTGGTATAAGAGGAGAAAAGAGAAAAAAATGAGTTTATAAAAAAATGCGTTCCAAATTCTTCGAACTTAGATTCGATTTATGTTGGCCTACCAATCAACAATAATGACAGTAAATATTAGGTAGTATTAGTCAGATGTATCTGTGACAAAGTTGCAACATCTACAAATGTAGACGTTTTCATGGGTACTTCAACTGATTTTCCACAACCAAATGGAGTAGAACACTGCGCCTTGCCTGAGTTATCATTTCCAGGTCCGAATATCGTATTATTACTCTTACTGTCCAATCTTTTTAGGCACCCTGTTTATAAAGGTTTTTGAATTAGGAATTGTTTTCATTTTTTTCTTTTCATGAAATACTTGATTTTTGCTTTTATTGTTTTTTAAGGAACAGTGTTCCCCTCTCTCACAATGTTTCTTGACTCTGTAATAAATTATTTACTTATATTTTATTTTACCCAGTTGATTATAAATGTTTGATGTTTGTAAAAGTATGATAAAAATAGGATGTTTGCAAAAGGGTTTTAAATTTTACGTGAGAAATTCCTGGATTAGGTTTGTATACCGCTAACATTTGATAACCCAGAGATGCCTTCACAATTATAGAGTTGCGAAGTCCTCTCTGACCACAACACTAATTTTTAAAGGCGGTCCGCCACTATCGAGAATTGTAATTGCAGTACATTGTGATCACGTTTGTCTATTAGTTTGAGATAGCATTATGGACAGAAAAGGGGAGCAAAGAGTCAGCGTGAAATTTTTTGCTAAAGTGTGCAAATAGGCGACAAAGGCACTGAGCTTGATTTGACAAGATTACGGCGATAAATTGTACAAAATGCTTTGAAGGGCACAGGCACTTCAAAGCCAGAAGATTGACCCTTAAAAAAGATAAGTGTTCTGAAAAATCTTTCATGTGCAATCTTTCACCATCATTATCCCCAAAATGTGCAGCGAGTTTGGAAACTAGCTCATGCGGTTCGTCAGAGAACTGTAAAGACACTTCAGAAAATTTTTGTGCTTTGTAAAAGTGAATGAGGACAATCCTAACATCGGAACTGATGATGCAGGATGTTGCTGCCATGTTCGTCCCCAGCTACTGACACCCATATGAAAAGAACACTGGGTCACAGTGTGCCAAGATGTCTGTGAATGTGTTGAGGATAAGCCACCCTTCATGTTCAGAATAATTATCGGTGAAGAGATTTGGGTGTATGGATACGAGCCTGATTCAAATTGCAGCTCGTCGCAGAGGAAGAGCCTAATATATTTACTACCGCAGTAGGCGAGAATGGGCTGCAGCTCAGCGAAAGACAATGCTCATTGTGTTTTTCGAAAGCATGGCATTGCTCATCACGAATTCATCCTCGAAATCTAAATCGGAAACAAAGTTTCACTGTAAAGTTCGGCCGCATTTAAGGGAAAACATTCGGCAATAGCAAACGGATCTAAGGCGTGTAAAGACATGAACTCTCCACGAAAACAGCACATTGTGTCCCTAAGCACTCCGCTTTGAGAGTTTTTCGGAAACCATAAATATGCTGTTGCTTCCTCATGTACCATACTTGCTAGTTTAGGGCATGTGCAGCAATCGCCCTATTAGGTTCAGCCAATTTTTTTTGTCGCAAATGATAATGCAAATGAAAAGTAACCGCTTTCCTACCGTTTATGTGATTCAGGGATAATCCCAATAATTATAAGAAGTTGTGGACTCCTTTATAAATGACTTTGAGGCCTTATTTCAGCAGTGGCAGGAATGCTGGAAACAGTGTCTTATTGTGAAAAATGACTATTGTGAACTTTGCTAAGATTATAAGGTATTTTTCCCGCCTTCTTAGCATGTCTTCGTGGTGTAGTAGTCGGCACGCTGGGAGCGTGTTCCGAGGTCCATGGTTCGAGTCCCGGCGGGGGCATCGCTCATTTTCATCTCTCCTGTTACGAAAATGTCTAATGTCTCTACAAGATTCATTTATCGAATTGCAGACCTGAAATGTCAGCGCATGCGTTACACTAAGGCCAAAGAAGCATAATAATTACATCAGGATTTATTCGTGCTAAATGACTTATGGAGTGACTGTTGTATAGTAAATTACAAAATGTTTTGTAAAAAGCATGTCATAACCATGGGCAAAAAATATTATTATTATCCAACACTTATAAAAGCATTTGAAAGATAGCAGTAACATGTCAAATTCCTGATGTCTAACAATACGAAGCTTACACTGCAATGTTGAAGACTAGCTTTGATTTATAAACTGGAAATACTCTAAGCCATAAGAAGAGGAGAGTGGGGAATATTACGAGGTATAAAGGTTGAACAAAGTTTGGCCGCCCAGACGGTATAGTGGTTAGGGAAGCCTGCCTGCGGTACCAAAGAGCCCGGTTCGAATCCCGCAGAAGACATGGATGTAAAATTGTCTGTCCCTTCATAGGAGGTAACGGTGGTCAACTATTAGGTGCCTCCACAATAAAATGATCACCGCTTCTGGCTTTAGCAGTGGCCAATGCCGTTAGAGGCAAGTGCCCGCCATTTGTAAAAAAGAAAAAGTTTGAACAGTAACATTTAGAATGATTTTTAGAGTATATTTCCTTAAAATATCCGTTTAACCGAACAAAGGACTCTGTTAAAGGCATTCAAGAATTAAATAACTAATTAGGAGGAAATTGTAATAAAAGTGGTTGGGAATTCCTAAGAAACTGGATTTAAAGTAAAATTATTAATTTCGTTATAGCTCGAGCTAGAACTTACTTTGTATTTCTAGTTGTTCTTGACTGTAATGTAAAACATTATTAAAAATAAAACTTAATTTTTGGAAAATGAAATCTAATATTAATAATCAAATACTCCATTATCAAGGAAATAAAATATTTTGACTTTTTTATTGTTGACTTGTGATTTCTGCTTTTGTTGCAAATCATGAAACAGTGAGAAAGTTGCATTTATCAACAGTTATATAACCCCTTACGATAACATCGGGAAAAAACGCGGTGGATTTGTCTGAAAGAGACTCCCTTATTTTGAATCGCAAAAGTGTTGAGATGTAACAAGTTGCCCCTCCCATATTTTTATAGAAGAATACACTAGAAAACAGCATTTTCTTCCCTAATTTCATGTTGCGAAGCGTTCTATTGGTTCGCCGGTGAAGTGACGTCACTCTCGGGCGCGTTTTAATGTAGGCGTTTTAAAACTCTTTTCCGCACTGCAAGAGACTTCCACGCACAATTCTGGCCGTTCCACTCTTGTATATAAATATACACCGATCCCGATTCTGTCTCTATTGTCCGCTCAGCGCATCATAGGACTCAGGTCATCTCACTGCTCTTAACTACAGCCATTATGGGCAGCAATTATATCTGTTTTTTGGTCTGCATCTTGTATCCTTTCTTTGCGCTCACTGTCAATGCTGAAAAAAGGACAATGTCATGTGACACAATTTGCAAGGGAATTAGATTTCCAGGGAAATTAGGAGGTTGCAACTGCAACTATGTAATCTTCACCAAGCGATCCAGTCAATTGTAAGTAAATAATTTATCTTTATTTCTCTTGTGTTAAATTTAAATATTTTATAGAACATTATTCTGATAATTTATGTAAGCTGAGACTCACCACTTGCCAGGTTTATAAACCTAAAATATCAATAAAATTAATTTTTTTGTATTGCATAATTTCAAATATTCGACATAAAATACCATTTTATAATATTCGTTTATTGGTAATAAAAATATCCTGTATATAATTAAATCGTGAAGAGATCTAATATATTTATTTCCATTAGCTCATTTACTGAATTTCATTTAATAAATTTGTTGATGAAACACAATTTATTAATTTTATTTTGTATCGATAGAGCATGTTTTGTGCATTTTTGCAAATGTTCAGGAGTTATGTTGAAAAATGGAGCTCCGAAAGATCAAAATTACTTTCCTTTCTCTCTAATCAGAAACATGTAATAGTTAAATAAAATATTTGAGTTTATTTGCTTATAGAAGTAAAAAACACTAATAAGCAGCACGCGATTAGTTTTTAATATGTACAAACAAAGACAAGGAAACATTTTTTGTAATAAATTCCTTATCGAATATTATTTGTTACGACTGTCAAAGTGGATCATTCGCGCGTGTTTCCACACATTTCGCATGCAAAACATTGCTCTACTGATAAAATGCAATAAGAATCTGAGGTAGTTTATCTCATTTCATTCATCCTGCCTTGACAATTTTAGTCTCGAAAGTGAAAATCATTTCAACAGATAGAGTGCTTTCAAATCATTAATAAGAAAAATGATACTTTGTGTAGTAAGATCGATCCCTGCTTTATTTTGTTTTAATCATTAAAGATTAATACTTTTCTCTGCAACGAAAACTCTAAAGTGTCCAAATCATTTAAACATACTAATTTAGACAAAATCAGAATACACATTATATGCTCTTGTTTCTCTTGAGATTTTCAGAGGTAACTGACGTATATTTATCATTAATAAAAATTCTGAATCAACTTTTTTTTTATCGTACTAAGAAACGAAATTTCCATAAGTTTTTCTTTACGAGAAAAGCACTTTTTTAATTATTGATTTATTATTTCTTATCTTATTGATTTATTATTTTAATTATTAATTTAATTATTATAATATTATTTCAGTATCTATTTATATACTGTATTATAAAAACATAAAAAGAAACTAAACGTTTTGGCATTACGCAGAATATAAAAGAAAGTTATTTAAACTTTAATAAATTTCTAGAGCACGTACATATACACAAAACACATCTAGAAAATTTAACGATTTTGATCCTAGGTGTCATTTATTACTACTGGAAACGTTTATGAATAGATACGACAAGTACTTTATCGCTAAACAGCGATTAAGAAAATTTCAAGAATAAACTTAGAACTTTCAAGAATTTCAAACTCGGTGATTTTATTCTTATGTTACAAATGGGAGAAAGGAAGAATAAATGCAAAATGTATTAAGTCCAAATTCCACCTTAGATTAATTTTAGTTTTAAAGAAACACCTTTTTCACTTTGAAGGGATTTATCAAAAATTATTTTACCTGAAGAACAAACGTTTTTTGCAGCAAATTACAAGTTTTATTGGCGTAATATTTTAGGTCCTTGATGAATAGCGATCTCTAAATCAGGGTCTATTAAACTGTGGGTCGCCATCCCCAAGAGGGTCGCCAAAAATTTTAGCAGTTATGATATTTCTTTAACTTATTATAATAATTTTACAATTACCAAATATTTTTACGCGATCACTGTACGATCTGAAAATAGATAAATATAAGACAATAGAGACAAAGAAAAAACGAAAATAGTTTCGACGCATTCTTTTTATAATATAAATGTTCATTTTACTTGCTTTGCACTTAACGCTGTCATTTCGTCTGTTACTTATTTAACATTTGCGCATTGTTCTATGTCTTAAAAATTAGAAATCAAAGTTAATGACCTAAAACTGTGACAGTGTATTACAGTACAAGCCAAAACATAGACAGTTTCACTCCCGCGTGTGTCGGATTTGCGCAATACGTATGGGGGGGGTCCCAACAAAATTTTTGGAAATATTATGGGGTCCTGGGGGTCGCGAAAAAATCTCAGTGATAAAAAGGGATCGCGACTGAAAAACGTTTAAGAAACCTTACTCTAAATGATTGCCTAAAAATACATAGAGCTCTTTATTCAAATTTATATCAGTCTAAGGCTGAATTTTGCCTAGATTTAAAATTTGATTGTCTCTGCTTTGAAGATTAATGCGCTCATTAAATAATAAAATATAATTGATTTTAAAAACTAATTGAATAAATTTCTACCTCACTTGAGTTTTCATAGCTTGTGCTTAAATTACATCACAATTTATATTAAGGACAGATAACTTCCTTAAATATTGTCAGATAAATTACCTAAATATTAATGTATTTAAAAATAGACAAGCATAAATTGCAAGTAGTAAGAGTTGTAGGGATTTATATTTATTTGTTTTAAATAACCAATTTAATTTAATTTTACGTTCTTTCCTATAAGCCTTCATTCCAATGCCAGAATATTTAAATTTGGTAGCACGCGTGAATTAATGCAAATTCTACCTTGCGGAGAAAAAGTTTAAATATTGAGTTCTAAAAGGAAAGTAAGACAGTTTGGGCAATAGCCTTCACCTCTGTAGCGTGAGCTTATATTTCTGCAGTTATTGCTGGTTTACGTGGCATAACAGCTGTTACATTCCTGCCTCCAGATTTCGACGCGGGTTTAAGGAGCAGGAGTTTCTGAGCCCTATAGCGTAATTTCTGCTGCTTGTTAATATCTTTGAATTTTAGTTTAGTTCTTGTTATTTGAGTCATCGCCCGAGTGAGGCGTAGTGCGTTAGCGTCAAGTCGACGCATTGGGAATTTTAAAGAGTTTAATAAAGGGTACTTTTAACCCTTTTCCTGTGTAGTTTCTACACTCACTTAAGTTATCACTTTAAAAGATAAACTAGTGGTTCTTACAGAGTTTTAAGTACGTTCGTGGCACGCCTGTCTTAAGAAAAGAATTTTCACTTTCCTTAGCTTTTGTTTAATGTATGTCTGAAAGATAAAACTCAGTTTCACTTAAATTACTGAAACTGTTCTAGGTTAAATCTTTCTCTCAAATCGCTATAAACGCTTTTTTTATATATATAAACGCTTTATCTAATTACAAGAAAACGTCTATTCATTGTGTCTAATAAGTCCGTTTTATTGGCTACATAATGAAAAGTACATTTAATATTAATGCGAAATTTCAACTTTCAGAATATGTTATGGCAAAATGTATGTCTCTGTTAGCTCTCCGAATTATTGGACGGATACCGCTGGAACGCTTATTTAGTTGTTTGACTCAGAAGCATTTTTTGAATTTGGTTAATTACGGTTTCGTTTCGTATCCAATAATTGTATTTCTTGAATATAGTAGCTTCCATTTTACTTCGTACACTAAATGTAAATTCAATGAAAATAGAACACAGTTATCCTCGTTTAAAGTTTGAATGAATTATCAGATTTTATGATGGAGTTCTTTTAGCAAACCTTCATGAATATCCTTATGTAAAGTTCTGAAAATGGTTGCATCACACGGTTTCGGTATAATTTAAAAACTCATCCTTACCTTTTTTAGAGATTCTGCATTTCTCTTTACAGTATACGTGCTGGCATGGTAGTACTTGAACCGGCTTTGGTTCTGGTTTCGAATCCTGGAAAAAGTATGGATGCCTGTAGTTGTGTTTTCTCCAGTTTCGCGACTATAGTGTCAGCGCCACTCCCTGTGCGGCATCTTGGGCAGCGTTGCGGTGATGAGATAGCTAAATAGCCAATGGATTCGGCCGTTCACGGTTTATGGTTGAAGAGAAGCTATCAGAGCATTTGAAAAAAAAGTAGTGATAACACTTTCCCCGAGGAGATTTTTGCATACATTCTTAAAATACTGCCAAGTAGCATTTTCAGATATTGACGAGTTCCTAATTTTAAAAAGTTCTTAATTTATAGTTCATAATAATACCGGTTGTAGCATTTCGAATGATATAGAGCCATTTGTAAGAATAATATATTTTCTGGTATGTGAATCCTAACCATCAACAGTGTCTTAGCAACTTAATGAATTCTAATGGGAATAACAGTTATTTTCAAATCATAAATTTTCCTTTCGTGTTTTTCATTATAGCTTATTTTCGAAAGGATTTTCAGATTTTTGTAGCTCATTTTTCCTTACACTGGAAATGTGGTAATGACCTTTAAGGAGGATTTCTTTAAGGTATTCAGAATGACAGCTTAATTCTAATGATTGTAAATAGAAAATGAAGTACAGAAATCAGAAAAAAAGAACGAAGACCTCCCAGAATTATTGCTAAAACATTCCTCTTAAACTATTACTTAGCTGTTAATATAACAACGCATTCTTAAGACGTATTTATATCTTACCAAACGACGTAGAGACTACTGGGCTTTACCTGTGAGCAGAAAACATAAAAGATTACCTATGCTCTCTCTGAGATTCGAACTGCAGACCTCCCGCTCCTAGCCGGATATGTTTCCAATTACATCACGAAGGCCCGCTGCAAAGGAAGCAGAAAAATATCCCTTAAAACATAACTCAAAACTTGAGAGTGCAACAAGAATTCGAGTACATATCTGATATCAGGGTGCATTGAGTACATAGAAAACAAACTTTTTTTACTCTATCACATAGATTATATTATGTTATCCATTTTTTAAAGTCTGGGAGGTACTAAATTCGTTTTTTTAAATGCTTATTTGCTTTTCCTATACAATAGGAAAAATATTGATCATCTTATAATATCATGTTTACTGTTTCTCGCTGTTTTTAAACAAATACATCATAGTATTCGTACATTTTCCCTGGACGTATCCAATCCACATTTTCGTTTTCTCTTGCTTTTCAAGTAGTTTAATAACGTTCTCTTTTAGTAGAAAAATTAAATTTGTACCCGTGAGCATTGCTGATGTTTCTTCTGAAAGGAAAATATTAAACCTCTCATGGGGAAA